GGTAGCTAATTTAATCGTTTGTTGTTGAGGAAGACAGGTCTCCTTTATTGTTGGAGGGAAATGTTGTTGTGAAGCATGCACAAAGAAAATAATGTGGAGCAGATGGTGAAAAGCGTTTCCCCAGCCCTGTGATGTTTCTTCTACTCTTGCTTGTTTTCCTGCTCTCCTTTCTTTGCTCTCCTCACATTTCCTTCCCCCAGCTAGCACTTAAAAATACTTTATAGATCATCCTGTCATAACATTTACAAACATTAGTACTTCACACGAGTGCTTTTCTTCATCTGCAAAGTGAGATGAGAAAGACAGGAGGTGGCCAAAGTCATTCTGCAAACCAGGGTTAGAACTGGACGTAAAACATGGAACTAGGACAGGAACTCCCCTGAATTAACTCCACCCAGGCTGTGGGGCTCTGATGGGAGTAATTCTCAAATAGTATGGTATGCCACTGCCAGTCATCTAGTGTAATGGAGTGGGGGGAGGGAGTCATGCTTTTTGTACCTGTTATTGCTGAAGTCCTCCTGAAGTCAGGCTAGTTTTGATTCCCAGAGCATAAGGTTACTCATGCTTCGCAAAAAGCAGCAGGGAATTGCACATTTAACTACTTGAAAACAGGCACTTTTAAATTCCTCTCGCATCAGTAACTGGTGCTCAGTTGTAGTATTTCTTATGATAGGACCCTGTGTCTAGACACTGTTTATCCTCAAGTCTTGAATCTGAGGCAAGTTCACACATAAATTACTCCTTGTCCTCAGCTTTTGGAGTATTTACAGATAGAGGCAGAAGACTGCGAGCTGCTCTCTTCCAATGCAGAAGACGTTTCTGCTTGGACCAGTTGCAGTTTAGTGGTTATGGCACTTTAATGGGGTCAAAACACACAGGCTGGGGCTTTCATTAGTGCAGGGAAGTAATCTACTCAAACACACTAAGCATCTTCAGATGATGCAAGTACTTATTTCATTTTCTCTCTTTTCTAGCTTGTCTTTATTACTACACAGCCGTAAACAGACCCAAATGAACTAATTCCCTTCGGGCTGCTCTTTGCTCAGGCAGAGCAGGCATTGCTGCTCATGCACTAAACTACGTGGAGCAAGCGGTAACAGCATTATCCACAGCTCAGAGTGGAGCATGCCTGCCTCCCAGCATCCTTTCCCCATTTCTGACAGCATTAATGCATAGCTGACGGATGGTGCACTGCCGTGTTTATACCTTCTATCTCACAGGATGAAGATAAGGAAACATCAATTTAAAGGTGTAAACACCACCTAGGCGCTCCTATTCTGTCAAGCATCAACTGCTATCTATGGCCAGTGTGATGGGTTGGACCGGGCTTGCACCAAGCATGGGCACAGCTCAACACCCCCAGCAGGACGAGAGAAAATAGGAAGAACAAGAGTGAGAAAACTCATGGGTCGAAGTAAAGGCAGGGAAATCACTCACCAATTACTCTTGTGGGCAAAACAGACTTGGCTTGGGGATTTTAACTTAAAACATTTAAGTATGAATTTGGATATTGGGAACCAGAGACAACAAACCTGTAAACACTCTGGAAAACCCTTTCCTCCCCCTTTCACATGCTCAGCTTCACTCCAGCACCGATCCCTCTGCCCTCCTTGTTGTCACAGCAGGTTACACCCCGTCCCTTTGGTGAGGTGACAGGCAGCGCAGGGGGCTGGAGTCAGGACAGAGCAGCTTCTCTCTGCTCCTTGTTGCTTCCCATGTATTTCCTCTGCTCTGGCAGAAAGAACAATCCTAATGCGAGTATGCCGTGTCTTTTACTTAAATCTAGCATACACTTCGACAGCAAGTATGTATTTCTGCTTTCTGGACTGATGGAGCCAGTGTAACTGCTAACCTTACAGACTGTATGTACAGAATGCATGTAAGCCTTGTTTGTCTTCACTGTGTTTTCTTCTCATGTCTTTACTTGCTCGGCTATTTCTTTTCTAAGGCATTAGGATTTAGCCGGTCACCTTTCAGTTTCAGCAATGTCCTCCTTAAGGCAGCGAGCAGAGCGCTGGGCAGCAGAGACCCCTGCCCCCCAAAACCAACACTAGGTAATAGCACTACCGGCTGAATCCTGGCATCGCTTGGTCATGACCTTGATAAGTACCATCAAACATAGAGGGTTTAAGTGATTTTGCACATTGAAGAAGTCCACAGATGGTAAAGTAATAATGCCTGGCTGCTGAGGAAAGAGCCAAATGTCACCTGTTTCTTACATTAGCAACCAGTGAATTCTTTTCCAAATATTATATACCTACCATCCTGGCAGCAGGTGAATATTTGTAGGTCCTGAGGGACTAATCTAGTAGTACTATAAAATCCTGCTGTGAAACACAGCAAAAGCATTATTTGACAAATAGAAGTTAAAAAAAGCTAGACCCATTGGTCTTTAAGATAAAGTTACTTATCTTTCTTCAGAAGAAGTGTTGGCTGTTTCTCAGAAACCTAGATTCTCTGAATAGAACTTGTAGCAGTTGCTTGCTGTAGACCAGCCCATCATTTCAGATTTGGAATAGCAAACCGATTTTCAGGCTCTTCAGTCATTCCTGGGTACACCAATAATGATGAGTGGGCTAAGTACTAAGCACAGAAATTTTCATTGCTCTGTAACTAATGAAATTAATCTTGTGTTTTCCTGCTTGGTTAAAAAAAAAGAAACAAAGCAGGTATTCAGGTTATTAACGTGCTCAGCGCAATAGGCAATGCGTAGGAGTCTAATAACCTTACTACTCTTGCTTTCCCCCATTCTTTGTTTCAGCTAAGCTTTGACTCAGCATAACTTACAGTATCATAAAACAAATTTAAAAGACAGAGGAAGAGGCAGATTTCAGCTCTCTTACCATAAAATACTGTGTTAATGGTGATAGGACAAGCTCTCTTCTTGACGGCAGTCTCAGTACTCCAAAGCACTGACTGACATGGACAGGCTTCTCTCATCTTCCATGCTGTGACTTACCATGTTACTTGACAAGAAAAGCTCAGGATCCCTTCTTCCACTGGTACTTTTCTTTATGTCACCTCTGCAATTTTTTTAATTCTGGCACATTTCATTGGCCTTGAAGTTTTTTAGCTTTGACATGCACCACAGTAATAAGTGCCTGACTGCTTTTGACACAGTTAATCACATACAGGCTCTCTTATGTGGAAGATAAAATAAGTCACGGGACTGTACAAGGTAGATGAAATAGCCTCTGGGATGACAGTTTACAAATATTAAATGCAGTCTCAGCTAAGTGTTTTTCTCCATCACTTTCAATTGCAACTAGATTATTTGCATGAATTCTTACCCTACGAAACAATGTAACTGGTTGTGGAAAGCAGCACTACAAAACCAGAAGGGAACTGTAGGTGTCCAATACAGTGGAACTTCGGTGCTATTTTGCATCTTCAAAACACACTACGGGTGTACGAAAAGGCAGATTCATCATTAATGATTCATCAGAATCTAAAGTTAACCACAAGACATTTAATTAGACTGCTTTGTTTCAGGTATTTGTACAGCTGCAAAGAAATTGTATTACGAAGAAATACATCTGGAAGTCTTGGCTTCAGCATCGTAGGAGGTTATGAAGAACATACTGGGAACAAACCATTCTTTATCAAATCCATTGTTGGGGGAACACCAGCATATAATGATGGCAGAATTAGGTAACGATAACTATCTAATGAAAAGTAGCATTAAGTCTTTCATCTAGTTCATTTGTGTGTTTTTTTTTTTTTAAACAAGTTTTCATGAAGACAGTGGGGGGGGA